TATGAAAGGTAATACGAAATAGAAAGGAATCCGATTGGACCTGTGGTTGGCCAGTCAGCACTGGAAAACCCGTGAGAGGTGGCTCTGTGGAAATTTGAATTCACCGGGAAAATGGTCAATTCCTGAAAATATACCTAGATATCTTTTGTGACTTTTTTCTTAATTGCATTCAATCTTGAGAAAAGAGAAAATATGCCAACACCATATGGATTCTGATTCTGAGCGACCAGAAAACACTCTTTCGGATATTCAGGATTTGACCATTTCCGAATTTTCGCATTTCCGCAGAGCCACCTTTCAGGGGTTTTCTCATTCCGACTGGCCAACCACAAGTTTAATCGCTTCCCTATTTGTTCCATTCGAAAGTAGATAGTCATAGCTTTCAAATAGTGGCTCAATTTTAAAATTTGGAAACCAAATTGTCGAGAACCTGTCATATCAACATGAATCGACACGAATTTTACTCGGGACTTTTCCGGGTTTTTCCCTCTTGGCTGGTCAATCAGCGGTCCAATCGGATTTCTACCTGAAAGTAGATAGCCATAGGGTTAACTACCCCATTTCCGGCCTATTAAGCATAACCCGCACTTAGTCTTTCTTAATCTAGCGCAGTTTAGCACCAAACAGAATGTTATTATTACTGATGGCTTCCAAATTTATTTACCTTTCCGTACGAACAAAGATTTGATAAAGAGAAACCAATCGTTGAGATATTGTCAAAAGTCTAACACTGTTTCTTGACGCCAAACTCGGCCTACGGATTATAAACTCAGCCTAACGCATTGCAACGCCATTGAAATGCCAATGAATTCACTTCGGCCTATCGGATGAAGATAAAAATTGATTCGGTTGGAGCGCTTCTTTTGTTTTTGGGAATATTGAGTGCAAACATTGATATCACGCGTTCTCATTGACTTCGTTCGGAAGCTTATTAACTACAGTATCGTACCAAACGCATAATTGACTTGTTAACTCTGAAATCATGGATTTATTTGAAGTTTCCTGCTCGATAGGCCCAAAATGGGACAAAGTAGTTCTCTACCCTACCATTTGAATAGTGGCTGAATCATAATGATTGATCATTGCATTGCCGAGAAGCAGCCACGTCAACATGCATCGAAACGCATTTTGAAGCCTTGGGGTTTTGTCAGTTAAATGAAAGTCTGCAATCTGAACAAGTTATAGGACCTTTATTTGTAAAATGTGTACATTTCAATATGTCAAGACGCTAAAATGAACACGTGGATGTACAGTAGTGCTTATGAATGTATGGACAAACGATCCATACAAAAAATGTTAATGGAGTGTTCACTCGGCTGTCGACAGAAGCAGACCACCCCCAATGTGTTTCACGCGATTGTCTGTTTACTCAGCAGCAACCATTGTGTGGTCCTCCTCATTTTTCTTCATGAGCAGTTCTTTCAGTCGTCGACTTTGGAAAGCAACCGTTTCGTGATGAACGGGTGAGAGCTGACCACGTTTTGCGTCCATTGCTGCAATGGAAGCGCTCTGCTCCCTGTTGGCAATACTGCCATACAAAGAAACAACTGGACGTGGCTCCCGTTCTGGCGGAGGAGACTTATTGGAAAGCGGAAGATAAAATGTTTATTGTGTTGTACCTTTTGACTATATTTAGAATCCTCGGCTCTGTAAAGTTAATTCGGTTGAGCCTTAACAAATAAATTAATAAACAAAATGTGAATCGAAAAAGAACCGAAGGAAAATTTGGGCTCAAGCGGACATGATTTAGGAGTGCTGCAAACCGGTCAAAGGTTGACTTTTTTCATATGCAAAATCTCACAAAGTTAGGGTTAGGTTAGGTTATTTTAATTTGAGCGTCAAATATGTTTTTTCATTGCAAAAAAATTGTAAGACGTTGAGAAAAAAATAAAGCTTATATTTGTAATGACAACATTATCATTGAGACCCAGGTCTGGCGAAGACGTAATGATTTTCGAGCCAATTTGAAATGTCAAAATCGAACCAGCTTAAACTGTTACTTTAAGATTGAAACATAGAGGAGGTATTGAAATTTGAGTGAAAAGTCAAGCGATATTTTTTATCGGAAATTACTTCATGATTAAAAGACAAATAGGTTTTTTTTTATTATTATTTGGTTCTTATCAATTATTTAAGGGGGAAGTCCACTCTGGCGGCATGAAAAATAGGTCATTTTCACGATTTTTTTTTTTAGGGTAAATAACGATCAATTTAAAAAAGGAATGCATGGTTTTGTCAATTGAAATGTCCTCTTAAATTGAAATTTTTTTTGGCGCGATTGGATGTCTCCTGTAGCCGCTGCACCAGGTTCCCCAGGAGACCTCCCGTCTGAGTCGTCGCGGGGCGGGACGTCTGGTGGTCACACCACTGGAACTGAAACAACGATTTTTTTTTGTTGTTATTCTCTGATAGATGACCTAGTCTTGTACGTAGCCGTTTTTGATTTGGTTGAAAAATAAAAATTTGGCGACGTTTTGCAAAAAAACAGTCCGTTTTTGTACCCTAAAATTGGAGATAAAAGCTTGCACCAAAAATCCATTTTTGATTCTTTTGAAAATCTGCTACGTACAAGACTAGAAAAAAGGTACTTAACTCGAAAATTCAGTCGTTTAAATCGAATGAGTCGTTTCTAAAATACAGCGCCCGCCAATTTTGAAAACATTGTTAAGAGATAATCGCCGGTAACGGGCGGGTACTCCGAGCGCTCACCTGAGCGCGCTTGGAGCGTCTGGACACGAGTCCACTAATCGGCCTATAACTTTGGAACGATGTCACTTGCGGACTTGCGGTCAAGTCTATGTCAAAGTAAACAAAGTATTTTTTAAGCCAAAAAAAAAGATTTTTTGAAATTTCAAGAGTGGACTACCCCCTTAAACAACACACATAAAATTATCAACTGGGAAAATCTTATATCATCATAGATTTAACCCTCTTCTAAAGATCATTCTCTAGCTAATAAATCATCACACTAAAGCTTCATGTTAGCATTTCCAACCAACTCTGAAAATCGTTAACTTTGCGTATGAAGTAACATAAAAAAAACACTTTGAATGTAACAACTCAAGGCGTGTTACAAAAACTTTTCCGTAGTTCGGTTTTCCGCAACTCGACTGTAATTATATTTAGCTTTAGTTTTACATTCTGGCATAACAATTATTAGACTTACAAATTAGTTTTCTAACAGTAACAATTCGGTTCGTGAGAATTCCAAGCCAATTATTCAGTTTTAAGGTTAGGTTATCTAATGATGATATGGGTCAAATTATTTATCAAGTATTTTAATAGTTGCAGTTAAGTACTCACGTTCGCGTACGATTCACTAAGATTAAACTAATTCTATTGGTGCTTCCATAGAATATTTTATCTGTAATTGCACGCGTTATTCTGTTTACATCGGTTCGCTATAAAAAAATATTCGACGTTGCGAGTCGACATTCGTCCGAGCTGAGTCGATGCTGAAGCGATCAAAAGGGCCTATCGTCCAAATTCCGCAACACCCCGACCCGTAATGCCTTACCCTTGATTGGCTTTACTGCTATCTAGGACGTCCAGAAGGGCTACTTTGATCGCTGGCCTTTGTAGAACTCCCGACGAAGTTTGAACATCGACCTTTCTCACCTGACCGTCCGTTCCCGGGTATGTCTTAACGACCCGACCTCGCAACCATCCGTTGCGAACCGTTTCGTCCACAATGACGACTGGATCTCCATCCTGTAGTGGACGAACGTCGTTGAACCACTTTGTCCTCCTGGCTATTGTTGGTAGATACGCCTGAATCCACCGTTTCCAAAATTGATTTAGTAGATTCTCCATCAATTTCCAGTTTGTTCTTAAAGAAACCTCATCATCGACGGGAATTCTTGCTGGGGTATTCGCGCCACTTGAGCTCATGAGGAGAAAGTTGTTCGGAGTAATCACTTCTTCCGTCGAATCCTCCAACGGAACGAATGTAAGAGGATGAGAGTTCACTATCATCTCTGCTTCCGCTAAGAAGGTCACCAACTCTTCATCGTTTAGTCGATAATTGTGGCAAAGAGACTTCAAGGCTTCCTTAATGGAACGTACTTTCCGCTCCCATACCCCACCCATATGTGGGGCGGAAGGAGGATTGAAAATCCACTCAGTTTCTGCATTGGTAAACGTTACTGCAATGTCATGATTGATGACCTTGATTTCATTCGCTAATTCACGGGCAGCTCCTCGAAAATTGGTGCCATTATCACTGTAAATTTTCTGTGGAGCGCCTCTTCGTGCCACAAACCGACGAATAGCCATCTTACATGAAGCTGTTGACAAAGAGTGCACCACCTCAACATGTACTGCGCGAACGGTTAAGCAGTGTCCGCGTTGGCATGACCATAACGTTGATGATACTTGTGGATCAGTAGCTTGGTAACGTGGTTATTCTTTGGAACGATCACCGGGTTCCGAAAATCGAACGAATAATAAGCCGTAGCTGCGTTAATCCGACTTTGCATCCGCAGCACACCTTCTTCATCTATGAATGGCGATAGCTTGGCAAGTGGATTGGATTTTTTCAGGAACATCTGCTGATCCTCCTGCAATTCTGAGTTCTTCTTCTGTATAATGGCGAGTTCTTCCGGATACTCTTGGCTTTGAACCATACGCCACAAACTTGCTTCAGCGGCTGAGTAGTCTTCCAGCTCTAACGATGTAACTCTACTATGTGTCAGCTTTCTTTCCTTCACTCTGCAGCGATTAACAAAATGGTACACGTAACCTATGTTTCTCAGTAGATCTTCCCAACGGGAGAATTCCGTGAAGTCGAACGGTACTTGAAGTGCCGCTCCATGGTGGTGAACAGCCCTAACTTCCTCTTGAGGTTCCGACAACGTGATCTTCTGGTTTGGCCATTCGCTTTCCGGTCGACTCAAAAATTCCGGACCATTGAACCATGGACTTTCAGGATCGAAACATGGACCGCTTCCCCATTTGGTGCCTTTGTCTGCAATGTTCACTCCCGAGGGGACATAGTTCCACTCATCGATACTAGTCTCCGATAGGATCTCTGCTACCCTGAAGGCTACATATGGTTTGTATTTTCGTGGATCCGCTTTCAACCAAGACAAAACAGTAGTTGAATCGGTCCAGATGTACCGTTTTCTAATTGGTATTGAATGATTCTCCTCGACGCTCTTCAGAAGTCTTACTCCAATCACCCCGGCATTCAGTTCGTTGCGTGGAATCGACTGAGGTTTCAGCGGAGTCACTTTCGTTTTTGCAGCCACGAGTGCACAACGTGGCATCCCACCGTCGACAATTCTAAAGTACGCTACTGCACAATACGCCATCAAGCTCGCGTCAACGAAAATATGAACTTCGAGGGACTTGTAACTTTCCACACTATAGTTTGGAAAGTAGCACCTCGGTACTTGAACCTCCGATAGTTTCGGCACCAACTTTACCCAGCGCTTCCAGTTTGCGAAATCCTCATCCGTAATCGGGTCGTCCCATTTCACACCTGATCTCCACACGTCCTGGATCAAAATTTTGCCATGTACTGTGTAGGTTGCCACTATACCAAGCGGATCAAAGTGGCTCATGACCACTCGGAGAACTTGCCTTTTTGTTGGCACAATTTCCCCCGATAGTAGAGAAAGCAGGTCGTCACGGAACTGTGCAGTAAATACAAACATGTCATCTACAGGATTCCACATCATTCCCAGAACTCGTTCTGCTATCGTTAACTTTTCCACAGAAAAACGTTTCGCTGCGTCGTTGGCGTCTACCCCGACCCGTCGCAGAATTTCTTCGGAATTAGATTGCCAATTCCGGATTTCAAATCCAGCCTTGCCGTATATCATGCGTACCTCTTCAACTATCTTGACTGCCTCGTCGATCGTATCTCTGCTGTCCAAGAAGTCATCGACATATGTATTGTTGATGATCGCTGCCGCCGCTTCTGGGTAGTGATGCTCAAATTCACTAGCGTTCAAGTTTTTTACGTACTGTGCCAGGCAAGGGGAGCATGAAGCTCCAAAGATTACGACGTCCATTACATAGATAGTTGGATTCTGAGCTGCGTTTTGTCGATATAGGAAACGCAAAGCCTGACGGTCAGCTTCCTTGACAAGCATCTGGTGGAACATTTGACGGACATCGCCTACTGATACATACTGCCGCTGACGGAATCCACACATGACTTTCAGCAGTGGAGTTAGTAAATCCGGTCCGGCTAGAAGCATGGAGTTGAGCGATACGTCGCCAACGCGTGCTGCCGCGTCCCAGACAATACGGACTTTGCCAGGTTTACGTGGATTTTGTACTACGCCTAATGGAAGATACCACACACGATGAGGATCCGAATTTCGCAGTTCATCGTCTGTAATCTTGTGAGCGTAACCGCGCTCGAGATATTCTTCAATCTGTTCCGCCACTTTCCTGTTTAAATCGGCATCTTTTTTAAGTTTTCTCTCCAAGCAAACCAATCGCCGTTCAGCCATCACGTAGCTGTTGGGAAACTCAAATTTGTCACTCTTCCATAATAATCCGCACTCGAACCTACCAGTTTCAGTACGCTTGGTGGTTTGCTGCAGGATCAGCCTAGCTCGTTGATCTTCTGATGACTCCAGAGTTAGAGTAGGATTTACACCCAAGCTTTCAACAGCAAAATAATCTTTGACAAGATCATGAAGCGTCGCATCTAAAGAACAGTCACACGCATGAACCATGACCCGCTGTGTTTCTTGCGTTCGCTTTTGTCCTCCTCCGAAAATGGTCCATCCGAGTCGAGTCTTTGCCGCTACTGATTCTCCACTGCGTCGTTCCCGTTTGTCCAACGTCATGTTCAGCTTGGCATTATCCAATCCAATTAATATACGAGGCACTGCACCGGTGAAACTCTGCACAGGAATTCCTTGCAAATGCGGATACTGTTTGGATAATTCATCGTAATCAAGAGTTTGCTGTGGTAAATCCAGACTTGATACCGTTCGGATGTCCGAGATTGTGTACTTTGGGCCCCCGTTCACACTTCTGATGCTCAATCGCACCCGTTGCGATGCCGGTTCCCTTCTTGTTACACTTGCAGTCCACTGTAAGCATAGCGAACTTTCTTCTCCTGCCAATTCAAGTTCGTCTGCGATATCCTGTTCCAGCAACGTGAGGCTAGACCCATCATCCAGAAAAGCAAAAGTTGTGACGGTTTTCCCATTGTTGGAGAGGACGACGGGAATTACTTTGAATAACGTACTGGCATGGTGATTACAGTGGGCAGAAATCAAACCTGACGAACTCACACCTTCAGTGGCATTCGATGTCTGAGGATTGACGGAATGCAGCAGCCTGTGGTGTGACTCCTCACATCCATCGACTCCACAGAATTGTTTTACCCTGCACGGCCATTTTCCGTGGCTTCCAAGGCAACGTTGACACAACTTAAGCTGCTCTACCAAACGCTTCCTTTGATCCACGTTGAAACCAGTGAACGTATGACAGTTTCGAAGCCTGTGGTCAATCTTGCTGCACGCGTGACATGGCTTGGGGTCACTTTTCGTTTCCTGTTTAGACTTGTAATCCGTCTTCCCATCCGTATCGTGATGCTGCTCTTCTTCCATGGTATGAGCGTTCAGAAATTCCTTCTTCTTACCCTTGCGGTAGCTGTCGTCCGAGTGACTCCATTCTGCTGGCAACGATACATGACAAGCAGCGGTCTTTATGTTGGAGACGTACTCGCTGAACGCTTTCAGCGAAACTTGAGGAATTCGCTGCGTATGAAGACCCCAATCCAATCGAAGATTTGGTGGTAGCTTTCCAACCAACTCCGATAACATCATCGGATTAGACAAATGATCCTGCAGCTGTGCACCTTCAATGTACGTTACCAGATTTCTGACTTCCCGACCAAATGTTATCAGAGTGTCCAGTTTGTTGACATTCGGTGCAGCAGCGTTTCGAATTTTACTTAGCAAGCAATAAACTAGCTGTTCTGGCCGTCCGCATTCGTCTCTCAGGGTCTCGATGATTTCGGGAATCGCTGCTGGTAATGTAAGAATGCTCTGCACTTTCTCTCTGGCACTTCCTATCAAACTTTTTTGAAGCCTAGCCAAGTTCTCATCCGGTTGAATTCCACACATAGATGTTGTTGAGTCGAATGCGTTGATGAACATTGGCCACTCAAGGGGATCACCCGAGAATTTCGGTAGTTCACGGGACACGACTTGTCGAGCTGCAAGTTGCTGTGCACTTAAAACTATGCCATCCGTGTTAGATACGGGCCACTGCTGATAAGAAGCTGGCAGCGGAACTGTTTGTCGAGGATTCCAACCAAATTCCATATGTGCTGGTGGTGTATGCACGTACGGCAATCCCCCGGGTGCTGATCCTCTCGATGGATACGTTTTTGATTGCTGATTAACTGTACCCTGCAGAACAGCAGCGCTTTCACTTGCAGGCCACTCGGCGTAAGGAAATGGCTGAGGAAAGCTCATGAGAGGTGGAACGTTCATGGTCGAAGAGATCGGTACATAATTCCCGGCTGTCATCTGCTGCTGATCACCGACAAATCTTCCATTACCTTGCTGAGACCACTGTGTGTGGAACATTTGTGGAATTGGCTGTGATTTTGGTTGTGACGGAATATTTTGAATGGAATCCGCTGTCGGCTGGGCTGTGTGATGATCGTACGTATTCTGCTGCTGCTGCGACTGCTTTGGTCGTCTCCACGTACGTTGAATCTCTATGGCTTCCGTTTCAGTTCGACCTTCATTACTTGGTTGCATAGGAACATAACTTTCCACAATTGGCACGTTCGATGACAACTCCTTTGGGCCTGGTAAATTTGTCCGTGGGAGAGTTTGTTTGTACGGAAACGGTGGATGTTGTTCCCGTTGATCTCGGATAACGGTAGCCAGCAGTTGCGATGACTGTAAAGGTGTCTGCTCTAACTGACTAGCAGCAACTGGTATTTGCTGATTCGCATTCGGCGAAAGCGGATTTCTTCCGAACTGCTTCTGAACTAGTTGGTTTTTATTGTTTACCAACACGCCGGGCGGAACGATATTTTGTATGTTTATGTTTGAGGATGGAACTGTCAGTGCATGAGTAGCGATTGGTGGTACGAGTGGAAATGGAACACCATTTTCCAGCACTACCATTTGTTGATTTAAAGGTGTTGAGTTTGAAGCACTGCTTTGCTGCACGGTATCCGTTGTCTGGTTTCTCGTCTGGTTTATCCAGGTTTGAACTTCACTGCGAAGACTCGAGCAGCTTTGTCGGCTCCGAACGCTTTGGTAGCTTCCTTCACCCGATGAGCATTCTAGTTCCAGCTGATGTTTTTGTGCTAAATACACACGTTCCCGTTCCGCTTGCTGCAGCTGGAGCCGATCTTCCAGCGCTTTAGATTCCTCCAAATGCTTTAGGTGCAAGCGAACATTAGTGCTACTGGTTTGCACAGAACTCTCGGAACCGTGGAAACTAGATCTACCGCTGAGGCAGTAACCACAATGCCAAGTCTTGTTGCATATTGAGGCTTGTACTCCCACACACGAAAAGTGGAACCAGGTTCCGCATATGTCGCATGCCACCATATCGTCTGCGTCATCCTGCCGATTGCAAGCCTTGCAGTGAAAATCTGAAGATGTATTGCTCATTTTCGGAATCCTCTTCGAATATCGTAATTTTCGAGCTTGTTACAAAAACTTTTCCGTAGTTCGGTTTTCCGCAACTCGACTGTAATTATATTTAGCTTTAGTTTTACATTCTGGCATAACAATTATTAGACTTACAAATTAGTTTTCTAACAGTAACAATTCGGTTCGTGAGAATTCCAAGCCAATTATTCAGTTTTAAGGTTAGGTTATCTAATGATGATATGGGTCAAATTATTTATCAAGTATTTTAATAGTTGCAGTTAAGTACTCACGTTCGCGTACGATTCACTAAGATTAAACTAATTCTATTGGTGCTTCCATAGAATATTTTATCTGTAATTGCACGCGTTATTCTGTTTACATCGGTTCGCTATAAAAAAATATTCGACGTTGCGAGTCGACATTCGTCCGAGCTGAGTCGATGCTGAAGCGATCAAAAGGGCCTATCGTCCAAATTCCGCAACAAGGCGGGAGTAGCCGTCAACAATGCTGATGATGGTACAGCACGCAACAACCACCCTACTGGTTTCTCTCTGAGATGATCACGTTGGTCATGACGAGAGGAGCAACACAATAGTTGGGTAAAGAAGAACTGCATTATAACACACCATCGACTGGAAATGCTCTCGCAACGTGGGGCTTTAGGTAGTGATGAAAACGTCGCTAGAACTATTCCACAGCCGCAGTCAGTTTATGAGCAACAAGAGGGACGCACATTTTTGCCTGTGGACTTGGAGACATACTTCAAGTCCCCGCGTACATCGTACGGGCTAGGCAAAAATGTGCGTCTATCTTGAAAAACTGTCACATTAATGGCCCTTCGCTCATTTTCAACTTCTATTCAATTTTCATACTGCCGTACTCTAACGGAACTATCCACCTACCCTCTTCTAAAGATCATTCTCTAGCTAATAAATCATCACACTAAAGCTTCATGTTAGCATTTCCAACCAACTCTGAACTAGATACTGTTTTTATAAGAGAGTCATGTACAGCTCATGCACTGATTTGCTTTGTTTACCAACTTGACACCAAGGAGTGGCAATCGAGGGGTGACTACGATGCGTCTTTGTCAGACCTAGATTGAGACCAGATAGGTCGCATTTTATCTCAACTTAGTGACAACCTGACTATGAAATTACCAATGACCATGTATCCTACTATTTAGAAGGTCATGGTGTTACTTGACTTTTTTTTTTAATTCCGTTGGTTTGTTTTCCGTCGATCTTGTTTTCCGTGCTGAGCACCAATGCTACCGACGCCAGGGAGGCAGCTCCCACACCTGAACCCTACCTATCGACCCATCAACTCATGAACCGGGGACCAACGGCTTTACTTCCCTTCCGACGGAAGGCGTGATCAGAGATGTTATGCCTCAGAACATCCCGGTGACACTCGACTGGGATTGAACCCAGGCCTGCTGGGGTGAGAGTTAATCACGCTTACCACTACAACACCGGCGCCGCTTTGGTGTTCCTTGATATTGTCTTGATATTTAACTGCATTTATTTCATGGTTACTTTTATTTAATCATTGTGCAGCCCTTTTTTTTCTTATGAAAAGATGTTACAGGTGCTACTTGGGAAGCTTATTCCAGAAGTTTCTTCTTAGAATCAACTTCTATAAACTTTTACCTGGAAGCTATTTCTTTTCAGAAGCTTCTTTCAGGAAGCTTCTTGAAAGTAGCATCTTTCTGGAAGCTTATTCTTCTTATTTGAAACTTCATTTTTGAAGTTTCTTTCTAGATGCTACTTTCAAGAAGATTCTTATAGAAGGAATTTTCTACATGTTTCTTCAAGGAACACATCAGTATCACATCAAAGTGGATGCACTTCAATCGTGTTGGCAATTTTGTGTAATGTTACTTGCCAAAAAGGACAAAATTATCATTTATATAGTGCATTAACTGACATTGCGCTGCTTTACTGCATTTGTTTATTTTTGTGACCATAAAAATTACATGAGATTTTCGACATGATTGAAGTGCATCCTCTTATTAATTTATTTTTGTGTGTAGAAGCTACGTTCTGAAAGTTTATTTTTAAAGATTCATCTAGAAGCTCTTTCTGGACTCTTCTCGCTTATTCTA